GTGCCGCTACAATAACAACAACAACACCACCACGGGTGAGAAATAGTGGGTTAAAATGCGTCATTCAATTTTACTGTAGACCTTTAAAGACAATATTAATGCTGAATGTAGTTTTAAAAGAAATTTTTCAAATGATTTACATCAACTTGATACCAAAATAGGATAACTTCAATACACTGAAAAAAAATTGTAACGTTTAGGCACAACACGGCAGGTGGCCTCTTCCTTTTCCGCTTTCATAATTGGCATACCGCATTCGTGTCTCTTTCTATTCATTTCATTTTGTTGCACAGTGTAATTATCAAATATATATTTCTATTCGGTCCTTAATCATTCTAGATTAGTGGTGTTAGCGCTTATGGTGTGTGGGAAATATAGTATTTGTTGGCGTAGACTCTTTACAAAATACGTTTTTGTTTATATTTTCTGCCATTTTACCCGAGATTTGCTTTGTCGTTGTTCACAATGCTAAATTTTCATCAAAATTTCAGCTTTTTATCCTGAATCCTGAAACATGCACTTTATTAGACTAGAATTGTGTATGGGCTATGGGTTGTATGGGCTTTAAAACTGCATGAAATTTTAATGAAAATTTGGAGAATTTTCCTAAATTTAATGTAAAGTTTGAAACTGTGATTTACACGGTTTTGGTTAAAGCTTAAACGATATTTTCATATAAAAATAACAAAAAAATTAGCTGGAAAAATATTACGAATATTCAAAAAAAAAACCACACGTGGTCATTTGTTTGTTTGTATATTACCCAGTTATACTTGCATTATGAAAATTTAAGCTTGTATGTGCGATGCCACGCCCCTAATTCAACAAGGGATCTGCATTGAGTCATTCGGGGCGGAAATCATTAATTAGTTTCGAAAAACTTGAAATTGATGTAGTATTTAGTTTAACACTTTTTTTGTTTTACTTTATAATGCCGACCATACCGATTATTCATAAAAAGCATGATCGAGTTTCAAATGGACTTTTGAAACTGAAATATCTCAAAAAATCGCCGAAAGGACCCGAAAAAATGGCGAAGGTTCCGAAAAATTTTTAATAACAAGCAACAATGGCCGATTATTTTTTGTTCAAAAAATAACAGGTCAACTTTGCCTTTTATTTTTGTCTTAAAGCCTGGAATCCAGCTCGCAAGAAAAATCACAAGAAATATTTTTCATAATTTCTGTTGCTTGAAAAAGTATCGACTTTGCTGTTGCTGTAAATGTTCTTGAAGAAGTAAATATATGAGCATTTTTCCTTGAGAACTGCATACCAATTTAAGAAATTTTTATAGTATACATACAATTTCTTTTACATTTCTTGTGCATCATTTTATATGAATTTTTCGTTTTCCTTAATCCCTACCGACAGGCTTTTGTTCTTGAAGAAAATAATAAAAGTATACAATAAGAGAAAACTCTAATGAGTACCACTATTTCCCGCATTTTTTTTGATTTCTAAACCTGAACACATTTTTTTTTACAGTCTTTGATATTTACGTATGATTAATAGAATTTAACCATTTGAACAAAAATAACTTTTTTTTTTAAAACTTAGCTCTTGTCGAATTAAAGCAATGGTTACTAATGAGACTATGCCTTAAATTGTAGATTCAACTGGACACAATCTCATATTTACAAACAACTCAAAATAAATAAATTATTATACAAATTACTCATACAATACTTACATACAAAAAATCATAAAAGTATTCATTCAAACGAAGCAAAAGTGTGAACAATTATCTAACATTTGACGAAAAAAAAACCTGATAAGGGAAATTAGACAACCAGCATTGGCTTATAGCTAAGCTTTGATAGATGGAACAGAACTCAAAGGATATAAAGATAAAAATCGAACAAAAATTTATAACAAAAAGGAAAGACTTAAGAAAAGCGATTAACTTGATAAGAATATATATGTACTTATAATTATATATATATATATATATATAGAAATAAGTTATAAATACGCCTTTAACTCTAGGAATAAGTGACTAGAACTGCAATAAACGAAAGAACAATATTTGGTTAAAAATGCAATTAATATTAGGAGCTGACGTTAATAAAAAAAAAATAAAATAAATAGGAATGGCGTACGATATGAAGAAGGAAATCGCTGATGTAATTTCAGATGATATTCGATATTAGGGACATACTAACGTAGAAATACGAATATCTACATAGGTATTGACAAATAGTTATATGACAATTGAATGAAGGAGTGTGGTGTTACAAAGGTTGATAGCCTGAATAAATTCATATTAGTTCTATGTGTGAACCTCTTTGAATTTCTGGAGAGTTTTGGATAAGATCAGTCAAAAATAAAAAAATAAAATTGACGCACAGCTCTCAAAAATTTATTGTAAGTGCTTATGGGAGCGTAAATAGACCCAATTAGTGATAAGTAACTTCATATGAAATGAAAGAAAAGAAAGGAATAACACAAAATTGAATCAATCGTACGAGTAAAGAAAATTGCAGTAGGTAATGAATGAAAATAAAATTAACTTGTGAAAAATATACGGTTAGATGTTTCATTTTAAAGAGGAGCGGATCATATTATGAATGTATTATATTTATGCGCATTCAGGAAATGATGCCAAATGACGGAGGGTGATCATGTCTCATAAATATTTTAGGCCGTTAATCTTAATAAGGCGCAATTGGTCTTATTAAAAGAATAAAAAATAGGCCTACCACATTTTTGATGTGTTGTGGCACGATTTTTCTTGAATGTTTGGCCGACATTCTGCTCCACTTTGTGGCACGATCTTGTCATACAAATTCAGGTACCTACAGTTTTAATTGTTTGCATGTAACTCTGAATGATGTTGGCACACAAAGGGGAGGGACCTACAGTTTTACGCCGACTCCGAACGGCGATTGTACTTTTATGAACTGGGCTCTAACCACCACACCACAGCCGTCGCTAACCCATCGAGTGGAAATACGCATCTCAAATCTCTCGTCTACTGCGGCCATCTAGCAGGTCTTATTCACTACAGAATACAATGTTCACAAAGATATTATTTCCTCAAATGAGAGCGTTTGTCTTGAGCCCACTGATGAAATCGAATAGCACTTCGGGCCCTAGACAGTCTAACATTGAGAAAAGAATGTAAAATATATTACTTACACTAGGCTATTGTAGAGAAGCGCATGATCTTTCTGGCACAGGAGGGAACAAGAACGGCGAAGAATACGTATGGAAATTTTGGTGTTTAGAGAAGTCCTTGTCCGATCGAATTACACATATCTGCGGTCATAAGCAATAACCGCTTATGTCGAAAAGCCTGAATTCGAGAAAAAAACTTTTTAAACATTTGGATTGTAATGTTCTCCTTATGAGGAAACCAAAATATTTTCGCCTATAACTTTTTAGAGGAGGTAAAATAAATCTTTAGAAATTGATTTTTATCGATTTGTTTTTCGCTATTTCCTATATTTTACTGTTATAAACGCATCCGTAGTGCGATTCAGTATAATTCATGGATTTTATATTTTATGTCGAGATTTTTATAGATGTTGATTGAGATAGCTGTTGGAGTATTCGGGGGAAAGATTATGCAGCAGATTTATGTATGTATAGGGGTATTCTTTGAGTCTTGCAAAACCCTTGCACGGTGCACAGATTGCACGGATTGCACGGTAAAAACCGGTTTTTGTATGGGACAGCTTTGCAAACCGTGCAATCCATGCACCGTGCAAGAGCTTTGCAAGACTCAGAGAATACCCCTTATGTGCTTTTGCGTTCTGGCGACGACGATTTCCGCAGACGGTGGAACGATAAGCTGTATAAGCTATACAACGACGTATGGCAGCGAATTCAAATACAGTGGCTCCGTTGGCTCGGTTACGTTGAAAAAATGGACGGACGTAAGCTCTCCCGCTGGAGAAAGACCTCCGTTGCGGTGGAAGAACTTGGTTCTACTACTTAGGCATTTCTGATTGGTGTCAGTTGGAGCAGAATAGTACTGACTAGCGTACTTTATTGAACTCGGCCAAAGTCGTTTAGTTAGATATATCACCAAACAAGAAGAATAATAATATTTGTTTCGCGATATATGAGAAACTTATTTTCGGGTGGTCCTAAGCGCTTTTGAAATCGACAAAGAAGAAGAAGGCTTTTTTTGTGGATTGGGCAGTGCTACTTTTAAATTCCTATCGGCTGGTAAGCGTTGTACCAACTAAATTCTCCGGAAATCGCACCTTTTTTGGATTCTTTCCTCTACGGATTTTACTACTCCAACTTATGTACTTTTCGTAACCGCACAAAAAAGTGTCGAGATAATTCCACCTCATCTTTCTCTAAACAGATGCGACAGTGAGGATCCAGTTTGAATATCAATCGAAAAGTAGCCCGTCAATACACTCACCAAACCGGTGAAATCAAATTTCCTGGCCCTCACAATCGCCTGCAACATCACTATGGCCTGATAACAACATGTATACATGTAAGTCCTATTCGGAAAATATCAGAGGAAACCAAAGCGCAGCAGTGTTGCAATTTTGATTTTTTTTATTCGAAGTGGTCAAGGAATTGGCATTTTTGTTTTAAAATTTACTCTGCAATGTGAAATTTTAAGTGTTAACCAGACATTGAGTAACCGGCCCTTAATAGTTTGACAGGGTAGCGACGATATTAGAAATGCATATTATTTGTAGTTATGACAGTATTTGTCTTTCTTTTCCCACACTGAAAGCTGAACAGGAATTTCACCTTCCATGCGTCTAGTGGTTGCCGTGATTGTCTTAGGGCCGGTTACTCAATGTCTGGTTAACACTAATCTGCGGTTAAACATCGTTATCGACGTCTTCGACTCCATGCATACAACAGGGAGTCGATAACTATGTTTTACCGGAGATTAGTGTTAACAAGACATTGAGTAACCGGCCTTTAGAAACTTTCCGTAAGTCTCACATAAGTAGCTATTTAGATGGTCATACAGCGGCGGCATGCAAAATACGACTCATGAAACACAGCTGAGCACTGTTTTACCGATTGTCACCTGTAGCAGCTGATTTATTTACTTCATTATCAACACCAGCCATACTGTGTTGGCAACCATGCGGAAAACAATAACAATTCTTGCAATAAAAAACCAGCACAAAACGTAATTACAAAAAATTCTGTTGGTGTTTTTATGTGAAATTCTTTGGCTTCGCTACAAACGAAGTGGCCAGCATCAACGAGCATAGCAGAGGCGTCGACTGGCAATCGTAAATGTGAGTTTGAGGTAAATGGAAGTGAACGTATTGAGTGCAGTGCGCGCAAATTGAACGCGTCAGTCAGAATTTAACGGTACACGCCTTCGGTTGTCAACATTTATTAACCGACGGCGGAAGTCGGAAGTTGTGAAAAACACAAACAAAAAAAAAAACATCATAGAATGTAGTAGAGGGGAAGAAAAGGAGAATTTAATTTATAACTGTTAATCGGAGAGTTTATAGGTGTGTGTTTGTGAGACAAGTGACTTGAACGGGAGGAAAATTCCATATCATAATTATGCAGTGAGAAAGCATATCACAAGTGTAAGATTAAAGCAAGAAACAAACATAACAGCAAATTATAAATACGTACTTTCATATTGCGTTAATTCGTACGATATCTATGTGTCTATGTATGTATGTACATATATATGTATCAGTGATGCCAACCTTGGGAGAATACCCCGATTTTGGTGGAATTTGAATTTCTCGGGGGAATCGGGGGAACGACTTTAAATTTTGGGGAATTCAATATTCAAACGATTTTGATTAGAACATTACTATTGCGGAGAAAATTGCATTTATAAATTACAAATTGTGATAACAGTCTCTCATTTTGTACCACGGGTTTGAAACATTACGTAATTGCCTCGTGCAACCGTGTGGATATTAAAGAAATTGCAACTGTGCGTCGCGACATTTCTAAATTTGTCCACGTTTTCACTTGAGACCCTCCTTTCTCGTTTCGTTTTCGCCACCAAGCCATCGTACTAGCTTTTTATATCATAAACATGAAATGTTAAAAACACTGTCCTTATTTCATAAGTAATGATATTTAATGTTGAGCTTCAAGTGCCTTAAATAGGTAGCAAAATTAATTTTGGGGGAATTTCATCGAGAATAGGGGAATTTTTTCTGAAATTTCGGGGACTTTGCCCCAGAGGAGTTGGCATCCCTGATATGTACATACATATGTATGTAGGCTTAAAATTTAATTGAAACAATTTCATTGTGAATAAGCTGAAGGTTAGGTTATTGTTTGCAATTATAAAAAGTTGAATTATTAAAAAAATTAATAAATAAAAAAGAACCTTTTAAATAAAAAGGCGCAAAAAGCTTTGACATTCGTTAAACAGCAAATGCGTTGAAGATAAAAAAATAAAAAAGCAACAACAACAGAAGAATACTTTTTGATGAATTTATTTTGCAAGATTTTTTGTTTTTGTTTTGCGAAAACGATAAAATGTCATTCATTTAGCGTTGTTGCTGCTGTTCTGATTATTTCATTGTTGGTGATGTGTTTTTTGTTATTGAAAAAAGTTTCCGGGTTTAATGACACTTCGGCTGAATTTATAAAATTAAAAATATGAAAACATATGTACATACATACCTAAATATGTACATATGTACATACATATGCATAACTACATACATACACATATCTCTAGATATATACATATGTATGAATGTATGAAGGTATATATTTAAATTTTTCTTTTCAATTCTTTTTTTTAGAATTTAGTGAGCGTACCATTCAAGTTTCATCTCGCGGCTGCTAAGTGGTAGAAGCAAAAAATTAAAAATAACTGTAATTAAATAAAATACCAATTTATCAATCCACGCACAAGCGTACATACACACAGACGTACATATGTATGCACATGCAAATTCATACATACATACATACTTAGTATGTTTGTACTTATTATAAGCTAACTTATTTAATAACACACTGTGTTTGTCAATGTATTGTATGTACAATAAAGCAGAGATTCAGCAAAACAATTTAAACAGCGGATAAAGTGAAATAAAAAACAACAAAATAAAATAATAAAACTATAAACATTACAGCTACGTGCACTAACCAAACTCGTAGCCCTGTTAATTTCGATTTGAAATTTCATTTTTAAATGTTAATGCCCGTACGGCACGGGAAAAAAGTGACAGTGACAAGTGACGCAACCAAACGTCAACATTAATAAATACAGCAAATATTTTGCTATTTTACTCGCAGTCGAGAATAACAAAGCGATACATTCCATAAAAAAAAACAACACAAAAACATAAAAAAAAAGTAATTAGTTTAAAGGCAGTAAAAAAACAACAATAACAGTTGCGAAAAATCTCAGTAAAATATAACAGGTGAGTAACATAATAAAAAAAGTATTGACCTTAAAAAAAAATGCATATTTTTATTTTTAAATAAATGACTGGCTATACTCGTTTTGTGCGATCAAATTTTTGTCTGGTTGGGTAGGCGGAGCGTAGTTGCAGCTGAGAAATGCTTCCGGCTTTTGGACAGCTGTTGAAAAAATTCATAAAATATTAAATTAATTTTTGCATTTCCTTCCGTCACATTTCACCATAATTTAGGCTCAATTTCAGTTCAGACATATTAAAAAGTTAATGAATTAAAGCAATTTTTTTTGTTTGTTTTACACTTAAAAATGTATGTAAATGTTAATTATTGAACACTGTCTTGTAACATGCTTTCCAATTACGATTTTACTTGAAATACTACATACATATGTATGTACATATGTATGTATTTGTTCTTTAAGAATTTTAACTGTCTCCAGTTCCTTTAATAAAATAATGAAATCGGAGACAGGGTAAAATAAAATAAAATAAATAATAATAAAACTAGATATTTATTATTTATTAATATTGATTTACATTGAGAGTGGTTCCCAAAAAGGAGCCGGTTATTTTTAGTGTTTGGAAAAAATCGAGCATTTAGAATCGACTGTCTTGGGAATGAACCAGACCGACTATACAAATACATATAGACTATTATATGTAGACAGGCCATTTATCGAGAACCAATTAACACCTTCGTCAACTCTCACGCTTTGAATTCCATCATAGGAGTTCCACACCATCTATCGCAGACGAAAGGCTCGAGTTGCTTCGCAATTCTCACGATACTTTGACACAACTCCATTCTGGATATTGTAGCAGGTAAAATTTTTCAGTCCAACTTGGATAAGATGCCTCAACGATACTCCCTATGGGTCTGGCAACGATACTCATGTGCTCAGCCGGACGGGTCTTAACCTCAAAAAACATGGCGAATATTATGTGACAGGCATGTTTTTCGATGGAGCGAAACTGACTTCAGATTTGTGCGTTTGAAAGCTAATAGGGAATTTACATAATTCAACTTTCACAGGTGATTAGTTGAATCAAAAGTTGAACGAAAGTAGGCAGCCGACCAATTTCATTGAAAGCGATTAGTTGAATGGCCGTTTACACCAGGCGATTATTGCATTCAACTAAAAATCGCCTGAAAAATCGCCTCGTGTAAATTTCCTATAAGATCTCAGGCAAAATTTTTTTTGAAGACAGTTCTGTAATTCGTTGCTCGTGCAAAAATTTATATATGTGACATGGTCTACGAAAAGGGAGCTTACGTGCGAAAACTAGTTTTCTGTGAAATAGCTGTTAAAAGTAAGCAACTCGTTTCGTTTACTCGTTTTTACTCTTCTTTCTCTACATTTTTAGTACACTTCTAAGCAAGTTAGGATTTTCTGCTTTTCACCACGTGAAAAAGCATCTTATCTTCCATCCGAATCAACCAAAAAGTGAAAATTGATTTTTTGACACCTAAGCCCCCTTTCCGTATACCAGGTCACATATATTGAGTTGAAAATAAGTGAAATATCTGATGAAAATCGCTATGGTTTGCTTTTTAACTATAAAAAAAGTGAACGGCTACAAAAATACGCTGACAAATTTCAGATGTGTACGGTGAGAATGCTGTGAGCGAACGCCGGACCCAATAGTGATTTGCTCGATTCCATTGCAGAAATATTGAGGTCAAAGATGCACTTCGATCTTGTCAGCCAGACACTGAATCGTATGAAAATAAAAAAAAACTACCCAAAAAAAAATGTTACGTTTGTATTAATATTGATTTGTATCCAACTTGTTAGGTAAATTAATTTTTTTATCTCAGCAAAATTTAAGAAATATTTGTTAGAAAAATAATTATGTTATTTATTCTTAGATGACTTAATTCAAAAAAACGCCGAAATCATTTTTTTCATTTACCCGCTAACTTTATAAGACGCAAAACTTAAACCAAAAATCCCCGAAAATGTGCATGTAAAAAAATTTCCCATATAAACGGTAGCTGAACTACATAATCGCCTGCCCCAAAGTTGAGTGCCTGCCAACTTTCATTACATTTTAGATCCGATTTATACGCCTTTAAAAAATAGTCTAACGGGAACAGCTTGGTTTTTGATTAATGATTTTGAGTGTATTTTATTTACATTACTGCACTATGTATGTATGTATGTATTTTGAAAGGTATGTTTGTTTGTGAATTTATACTTTTTAATACGAATAAAATTTGGTGTTACTCATACGCCCTGCTGCCAAAATATACTTTTTTGTTTTTTTTTACAAATTTGAAACTTTGTAGGTATACACAAATGGTTGTATACTCGTATTAGGTTGGTTTTAACGCAGTGTTTAAAACTTAAAAAAATTATTATTCATTTATTTACATCTACCATAACCTTACAATAGTCAAATATTGACCAGTTTTCACTATTTAATTTATTATTTTTTAATTTTAGTTATTTGTTATTACAAATATAGTTCATTCTTAAACAAAAGAAATAACATTAAAAAAATCTACAAACTTTCGTAAAAAATTTCGAACTTCATAATTAGATTTCTTAGAAATATTTTGAGTGTGCAGTTTTGTAGCCCATTCAACTTTAAGCATTTCAACAAAGTATAAATTTGAAATATGCAGCTGAGACTTGCTGTTGATTTTTGGCAATTTTTGTCGAAGGTGTTGCTCATTTCCCCAATATTTCTCAATATAAAAAAATCGTTGAACGTACTTCCTATTCCTATGGAAGAAAATGACAGACATCGTGAAGAAAAAAATGACCGAAAATCAACGTTAAGTCCCACCTACTTCAAAGTTGCACTTTACTATACTAAAATTGAATGGGCTATTTTTCGGTTGTTTGTTTAATGTTTATTTTTTTTTTTTTTATAAAAATGCCGCTTATTGTTAACAAAAATCATATAAGTCTAAATTTCAAATTTGTAGAAAATTAAAAAAAAATTCAATAAAATCTAACAAAAACAACAACGTTTCTAAGTATGCAGTTTTTAACCCATTAAATTCGTGTTGATTTTAATAATTTTTTTTTGTTGTGTCACGCATTTTGTTCCATACAAAGTATGGTTGCCATTAAAAAGAAAATGTACATTCCTCGTTACAAGTTTTTCGGTTCGGTCTCAGCTACCGAGATCAAGTAAGGTTAATTGCAGTGAAGTATTTATTAGATACTTTTGCATTTTTTTTGGGGAAATAAAATAATTTTGGGCACTTTTTGAATAGATGGCATGTGTACTAAACCATTAGTATTTACTGCATTGCCTGTCTTGGTTAAGCTTATAATGTTCTTTGTGGTTCTCGCCTCTTGGAATGCGCAGGAGAAGACAATAATGTCTTCGAAAGCTGAAGCTAATCCTTATTCGGACAACTCCTACTCAGACCCTTAACGTCATTCTGCGTACATAGGAATAGTCGCTGCAGCTAGGTTTGTGTTCAGCCTGGGGTTCACTAGGTGTTTATGTGCCTCAGAGTTTGAAAATTCTAGTATTCTTGGAAGCTTTGTCTTCATTCCTGATAAGCTTTCTGAGCTTTTTTTCAGCTCACGTGAGATCAAAAGAATAGTGGGTGGAAGGATAAAGTTGGAATAAAGTACAGGTAAACTTTTACATGAATGGGATTTCATATTTAATCGAAACATTAACTTCAACACGAAATTACCCAATACCTGATTTTGATTGAGAGCTCCTAATTTGTATCGAAATTATACATACATATATTGAAATCAAAAATATCTACTTTTTTCTAAATTGATAGCATTACAGCTGGTACAATAAATACATATGCACTAAATATTTAATGTTACTTTTCGATTTTGGTGCACGTGTAGGGAGATCGCATGACTGTGCTTCCCCTTTCGTCCTGCTCTCGTGATATTCATCTACTATACGTATGTAAATACATACATAATTATATGGACATAGTATGTAGTATGTATACTTATTGTATGATTTGCTGATGCTGTTATTAGCATTGCTTACCTATTTGTTGTTATTTTTGTTTGTAATTTGCGTTTTGTTTTTAACCTCTGTTTCCTCTTAGATTTTTTGTTTTTATAACGGCATTCGTGTGCCATCGTTCTGCTACCAGTATGGCTGCTGCTATTTTGCTGTCGCAGTCACAGTTACAATCAGCTGCTAGTTAGTCTAGTCGCTCAGCAAATCACCAACAACTCATATTGACGAGTATATACATTTGTACATATAGACGAGCTTGTGAATATTAGATTGCCTGGTACTCCATACAATTAAAAATCAGTTTTCTTTCCTCAAGAAAATTATAAAATTGCATCAATTTCATAGGTCCCACCAAACTACATGCATACATACATACAAATGACAATTTGAAAGCAAAAGTTGTTCGTGTAACGGGAATGGCTTTATTTCTTAGCGGTATAAAAAGGTAATAGGAAATATATTTTCAATGATAGGTACATGGGAAACGAAAACCGTTTAATAGAGAACTGAGTTTCAAGTTTTCAGTAAAAATCAGAGATCGAAATTAGTTGTTATTATGAAGGATTTTTATCTTAAAATCATTGAAAAATCGTTACTTTTTGATTTATATTTTTACGATAATTTATAAAAGTTTTTTATGATTTTTATTTATTTTTTTTGATTAAAAATAATCTTTTCCATCATTTTAATTTTTTCGATAATTTTTATGGTTTTTTCGATAACTTATAATCGTTATTTTATGATTTTTTCGGTAATTTTTAAGCGTTAATTTATGGTTTTTATTTTTTCGCTAAAAAATAATCGTTATTCTTGAATTTTTATTTTTCCGATCATTCTGAATCACTTTATGATTTTTATTTTTTCGATTACATTAAATATAATCGTTATTATTACATGTAATTTCTTAGATCATAAAAAAATTTAAATTGGTTATAAAATCGGAAAAAAACGA